TTTTAATATATAAACTTGGGGCACCTGGGTGGCTCAGTCGGTTCAGCGTCCGACTTTGGCTTAGGTCATGGTCTCATCGTTTGTGGGTTCCAACCCCATGTTGGGCTTAGAGCCTGGAGCCTGTTTTGGATTCTGTGTCCCCCTCTCCCTCTCTGCCCCATCCCCGCTCATGCTTTGTCTCTCAAAAATAAATAAAACGTTAAAAAAAAATTAAAAATAGTAATAAAATAAAATATATAAACTGTATAAGAACATAGCAGATTTTTAAAATCTGCAACCTGCGGGACGCCTGGGTGGCTCAGTCGGTTAAGTGTCCAACTTCGGCTCAGGTCATGATCTCATGGTTCGTGAGTTGGAGCCCCGTGTTGGGCTCTGTGCTAACAGCATAGAGCCTGGAGCCTGCTTCAGATTCTGTGTCTCCCTCTCTCTCTGCTCCTTGTCTGCTCACGCTCTGTCTTTGTCTCTCAAAAATAAACATTAAAAAGAAATCTGCAACCTGTATCACAAACCACATCCCCTAAATTTTGTGATAGATTTCTAAGAAGGAAGGTTTTTCTCACCTACCTTATGTCCTTTCCTGACCTTAATTAAGTCTTTTTAAAAATTTAACTTAATATTTTCTGCTGATTCTTAAGAGATTTAAAAAAATTTTACCCATGTTAGTGATGAGACGCTGACACAATGATTTCTGTAATACCATTTTACCAAAAGCATATTAAATCACTTCTTTATGTCTACATAAATGTATATTTTCCAAAAGGTTTAGGTAGTCCTAAATATTTTTATTTGGGGAATCTTTTGCTTATATTTTTAACTTTTTCAGAAAAAAAAAGTAAAGGCACCCTATACTGAGAACCATCACTCCAGACAGCAGCCTAAAGTTTCTATTTCTTACCATCACTGTCTGTGATGTCAGTGCCACAAATGGTATGAAGATACATCCTCACAAAATAGAAATCATTTATTTAGAAATAAAATCTGTTACAAAGATGCAAAGCAAATTCCTTCACACATCCTTCTTACTTTTGATTGCAGCTACAGATAACAGAATAAATGAAACTAGTAGTTCACTCTGGGGACAAAGGACAACAACTGATATTCCAAATGCCTTCCCCAGACCCATCCTGGAGATCATCCTCCAACCAGTGAATTTAGCAACAAAGTGCTAAATTTGATGGAAGATAGAAACGGTCACACTTCTAACATCTTGCTTCGTCTAAAAGAGTGGACCATGATGATATTCCATCCTTACGTGCTATAGAAACTCATGACTATTTTAACATTATTCTGAAAAAAACATAAAAATGTGGAAATGAAGGAAGAACCAGAGAGGCTACAGGAACATACATAAAGCATCAAATTCCAAAAACAGACATTTCCAAGATAAAAATGTTTGAGAATACTTATCACTCAAATAGTGAAGTATTCACGAGTGAGCATTTATCTCCATGCCTCGTTGGCAGACTCCAAAGGCATAAATAAATATTTATGGATGGTGTGCGTTCAATTTAGATGTGTTAAAACCAAAAGTAAATTAAACCAAATATTCTGAAGTCTAAGTTCTTAAGCTTTTGACCATATTGATCGCCATTACCCACTTTTAATGCCCCTTTCCACAAACAGAACCCAAAGAGAAACGGGCTTTATGTATTAATCAACTTAAAATATTTCATGTTACCAAATGTTTTCATTAAATGGTCTCTTCATGCCGCAGCTCTGTGTGACATGTAAACATTCTCCTCCCTGTGTAGAGCGGGTCTCAGATAGCAGTTCCCACATACAAACGGGTCTTTTGTGATATCAGTGAAACTGCTTCCTCAGCAGCGGTGAAATGAACATCGTATTGTATTTGCTAACATTCCAAAGACCACAGAGAGTACAGAGGGAATGTTAGAAAAGAGGGAACAGTGGAGAAAAGGAAAATAGCATCAGAGTGATAAATGAAAAACGTGTTTATCCTTGGTGCATGACATGGGGCGTAGTTGTGGAGAGGAAATCCATCATTCCCATGCAGAATTAGCACCGACAGTATAAATAGCTCAGCATCCCGGACGGTGATGGATTGCTTGTTTGAATGTAGCAGTGGTGTTAGTGAAGGAGGTTTCCTTCCAGGAAAAGAGGTCAGGGAAGCATCTAAGTTGTATATCAAGCCTGGTGCCTTTCTTACCGGGAGATTTTGTTGACACCACTGGCTGATGGCAGTACCTAGTGTCGTGACAAGGCTGTGTGACAGAAGATGATTTTGATTAGCCAACCAGGTTTTGTCTCCACGTCTGCCATTGCTATCATTACATGGTAAAATAGCCTCCGTAAGCTTCATGTTAGACTCCTGTCCAAAGATGATTTCAGGGCTTGACATCTGCTGGCTTTTTTTGTGAGTAAAGACAATTGTGTTATTTAAACCACGTGGAAACAAAACACAATGAAGTTACAGGATCGCTTAAATGAAACGACTTTCTTTTCATCATTTTTACATTCACTGCTGCAAAGCAGTGTGAACTAGAAAACAGAAGCAAGTCTGGGTAACGTGTACAACAATGAGACCTACATTTCCAAACTGAAGAGTTTCCCATAATGCATTCAGAGCCATGCAATGTACAACAAGTAGACTTAATGACTTCTTGCTGGTAATTAAGAATTTGCCTTAAAAAAAAAACCCAAAAACCTTTTTAGTTAACTGATTTTCCCCAGATGTGATAATAATAAAGTGGCCTGGAAACTGGGGTTCAAACTTTGGTGAACAAGTCCCCCTAGGCTCATCACTAGCTTAGTAGTGATGCCCTATTGCAGGAAATGAGCTTGACATTGGCCTGTTTATATCTTTTATGTGTGTTTGTGGTTTAAGTGGTCTTATCAGTATATACAATCAGACAAGACTTTTCAAAAGCATTGTGGGGACGATTCTGTCTCCTCCTCCTCCTTTGAAAGCTGACTTTTACATCTCCTTTCCAGCTCCCACATTTGGGAAGCTTCAAAAGCTAGTCAGAACATACCCCATTACCACTCCTGCAGTGTTAAAGCATTATCCATTGAATCTGTGTGAAAGTCGATGATGAAAAGCGGACGCTTTCTCTTCTTAATGAGACCTGGATATAAACATGACCTGTCAGTGGTGGCATGGCCACATCTGTTTGCTGAAAGCTGCATAATCCTGGGGATAGGAGGGTGACTTCAGTGAAAGCGCAAGACAGTAATAAAGGCAAATGACATCTGCATTCAAAGCTCAGCTACTGGTCAAGCCTCTCATGAGACTGTGTTTCGTTTTCTTTACTGCCCGCTTAACATGGGCATCTTTTTTTAATTTTGAAAATATTTTTATTATTTATTTTGGAGAGAGAGAGAGACAGAGTGCAAATGGGGAAGGAGCAGAGACAGAAGGAAACACAGAATCTGAAGCAGGCTCCAGGCTCTGAGCTGTCAGCACAGGGCCTGACGCGGGGCTCGAACTTGAGAACTGCGAGATCATGACCTGAGCCGGGGGCGTAACCAACTGAGCCACCCAGGTGCCCCAACACATGTATTTTTCAAAAGCTAAATTTCATACGTGATTATATTTGCTTGAGAAAAAAAAAAAAAGCAGACTTAAAAATAATTTTGCCAGTGTTCTAAGAAACATCATTAAACATTCACCTTCTATCTTGAGATTCTTGATGCCCTGGAAAGCATCGATGGCCTCTCCTGATTGCGTCAGTCTGAGCTGCCAGACTTCCTGGGGTCTTGCTTCTTCTTGCCATCGTCATTGGCTATGCTTCCAGTTCAGTCCCTGCCCCCCACCCTAGTCAGCCAGTGAGCATGCAGTGAATGTGCACTTATTTTAATATTACTTCAGAAATAAACCATAAGGAAGATAAATTTGCTGCCCAAACAATGTATGGTATGATGCATTCCAGAGCCAAATGCAAACGCTTTTTCCATTATGTGCTGCTCTTGGATTATTCTTGCCAGTTCTCTTCTTTATTAGCATGGAGAATCAGGAGTTCACTGTGCCGTCCTTTCCCATTTGATGGGCAATAAACATGATGCACAGAGAAGTTAAGGAATGTGTCCAAGGCAGAAGGTGGAAAATGAATTCAGCTCACTGCCTTTTTGGTTTAGCCATTGAAACAAAAAAGCATTAGCTTTCCTAGATGTCTGTTGTGTTTTCAGATAAGATGCCGCCTCATGGAAAGTTACATTATTTTTACCCATAGAAAATCTTAGCATTTCCACTTTCAGATGGTTGTGATTTCATGGAATGGATACGCCATTGTTTTCTGAATGACTGTATTAGTAATGTTTGTTATTCTTTTTATATATGGAAGGTTTTTTATGATCATATGTTGTAACATGGCTGAGAAAATATATTGAAATCATATTGTCGCTGTGTTTTAGTTCCAACAAGGACAACCCAGACAGCAATTTTGTGAGCCTGCAAATCAACATCACTGCTGTAGCTCAAGTAGAAATAAGAGGGTAAGTAATAATCAAGATATTGTAGTAGTTATACTATAATAATGGCTTCCTGTATGTGAGAGTTATGAAAAACACTAGGAAAAACTATATGGAATTTTCCTAATGCATTAGCAATCACAATTCACTCTGGTTATAAATTTCATGCTTTTCTACCCTTCATTAGCCTTCCATTAAAAACTAGAGTAAACCCTGTATGGTAATTGACTCGAAGGATATCAAAACAAGAGATCACTTTACTCCCCAAACTGACAGTTCAGTCATCAGACTCTAAAAACTAGTGATAAGACGCCAGATAAAATAGACAGACAGGTGATACCCTGAGAGTCTCACTTCTCCAAAAATTATTCTGGAAATAGAATGAAAACCTAGCCTCACCATACCACATCTTGAGTTTAACAAATGGCCAGCTCGTAGATGTGAGGGTTGATGGGATCTCCGTCTTATATCTTTTTCCTTTTGTCCTATTCCTTGAAAAATGTACCAATAAGCAATCAGTTGAGAGATGAGAGGAAAGTGGTCAAATAAAAGGCTTAGAAGAACTACCATCTTGGGAAATCCATGCCTGGGGGATGAAAAGACATTAGAAATGGAGGGCATAGAGTTCTTATCTTAGACAAATGTGGACCTCATTGATTTCATTGTAATTCTTATTCCTTCAGGACAATCTAGGACTTGGTATTCTGGGCCGAACTGTCTTTGGGGCTCCGGCAATCCCAGTTCCCTTATCCTTTTCATAGTCCTGAGTGGTTCCCACTTCTCCATGTTGGCAGCTAGGGCCACTGCATTCAGAGCCCTTGTCTCCAGGATACTGCAGCCTCTGGCTGCCCTCTGTGAGGGTGGGGGAGGTGGGGAGGTGGAGCCCTGCCTGTCCTCCTGGGACCAGTGAGGTACCACTTAGTGGATTAGAAAAGAATAATACCTAACATGGATTGATCCTTCCATGTGCTACCCCAACCCATTGGCACCGCTTAATGTGGACCAGTATCCTTGCTGTACAGGTGAGGGAATTTTGGGGTTGAAGGCTAGCCAGCTAGGAAGTGGGGAGGTACCATGGAAGTACAGGCAGCCTGCCTCCAGGTGCATATTTATAAATGATCATGCCGTGCAGCCTGTGAGAGAGTTCTTTGAACCTTAGCTACGCAAAATCTTGTTTGTTTATGCTTCTGTGATTTTTTTCATTCAAATGAGTGTTTTTGACATTCACCCACTCTAGGGAAGGTGCCTATAGTTCATTCATTTTAATTGCAGTAGGGTTTAACATTGTAAAGCAACACGATACTTGCTCATCCATTCCACTCTTGATGAACACTGGGGCTTTTCTTTTTCCTTTGTTACAGACTTTCTTGTGCGTACCTCATGGTACACGTGTGGAAGAAGGTGGGAAGGGTACCTGCTTAGAGGTAGAATTTCAGGATCAGACAATGTACACTAACTTTACTAAATAGTACCAAACTTGGGGCGCCTGGGGGGCTCAGTCGGTCGAGCGTCCAAGTTCGGCTCAGGTCATGATCTCGCGGTCTGTGAGTTTGAGCCCCGCGTCGGGCTCTGTGCTGACAGCTCAGAGCCTGGAGCCTGCTTCGGATTCTGTGTCTCCCTCTCTCTCTGCCCCTCCCCCCGCCCCATGATCTGTCTCTCTCTCTGTCAAAAATAAATAAACATTTAAAAAAATTTTTTAAAGTAGTACCAAACTTTTTCAAAATAATTATACCAAGTTATCATTCAAAGAACTCTCCACTTTGTTAACTAAACTCACAGAATGGTCGAGTTTTTCATTTTGATGGATAAGAAATACTATCTAACTGAAGGTTCAATTTGCTGTTCCCGGTTCCTAAATGAGACCAAGTAGCTTTTTCATGCATTTGCTGACTCCATTCTTCCCAAATTGGGTAATTTCTGTTCATTTTTAAAGACACATTTCTACTAAGAGACTTTTTTTCATATTCATAGGAACTCTTTTCTATTTTTTTTAATTTTTATTTTTAATATTCATTTATTTTTGAGAGACAGAGAACGTGAGCGGTGGAGTTGCAGAGAGCGAGAAGGGGCCAGCAGATCCGAAGCGGGCTCTGTGCCGACAGGCTCCAAGCCCGAAGCAGGCTCTGAGCTGATGCAGGGCTCAGACTCACAAGCTGTGATATTACGACCTGACCTGAAATCAGATGCTTAACCAACTGAGCCACCAGGCGCCCCTCTTTCCTATTCTAGAGTTGAGACACTAATCCTTTATCAGCTACGGAGGTTGCAAATATCTTTTCAGTTTATGGGGTTCATCTTTTTTTTAAGTCAGGTTTATTGAGGTATAAATTATATAAAGTAAAACTCACCCTTTTTTTTTAGATGTTCAGTTTGAAGCGTTAAGATACCACAAGGACGTTCAATGTAAAACAGTTCTGTCACCCCACATAGCTTCTCATGCACCTTTGTAGTTGACCCAGCCCTCACTCCCAGGCTCTGGAAACCTTGATCTATCTTCTGTCACTGTCTTTCCAGAAAAATAATATAAATCTACTCCTACAGAATGTAGCCTTTTGAATCTGGCTTCTTTCACTTAGCATAATGCATTTGAAAAAAACACCCATGTTCGTACATGTATCAGTGGTCTGTTTCTTTTTATTGCTGAGAAGTATTCCACTATACAGAAGTCCCATGAAATGTTCATCCATCCACAGGTTGGTGAACATTTGGGTTGTTTCCAAGTTTGGGGCTATAAATAATAAGCCTGCTAGAGGCATTCACATACAGGTCTTTGTTGGGGTATTTGTTTTCACAAATGGAGTGGAGTTGTATGGCAAAGGTATGGTTAACTTTACAAGAAACTGCTAACCTGTGTTTCAAAGTGGCTGTGCCATTTTCATTTGACGTTCCCCCCCCACCGCCCCCGGCAGATGGGAGTTCCAGCTGTGCCGTGGGCTTGTAGGCATGTGCTTGAGGTTTGGTTTTTTTTTTTGTTCATTTTTATCCATTGTAATAAGTATGTGAGAAGAATCTCGTGAAGTTTTAATTAGCATTTTCTAATGATTGGTGATATTGAGCATCTGTTCACAACTCATTTGCCATTAGGGTTCTCTTTGAAGTGCCTTTTACAATTCTGCCCGGGGTGCCTGGGTGATTCAGTCAGTTGAGCATCTGGCTCTTGATTTTGGCTCAGGTCATGATCTCACAGGCTCTCTGGCAACACGGAGCCTGCTTGGGATTCTCTCTCTCTCTCCCCCGCTCTCTGTCCCTTCCCCCAGTCACCTTCTCTCTCTCTCAAAATAAATATAAATTTATAAATAAATAAACATTAAGAAAACCAACCTTATAATTTAAAAAATAATAATTTTTAAAAATAAATAAAATTTTGCCCATTTATTATTGTCTATCTTATTATCAAGCTGTAAAAGTTCCTTATATATTCTGGATGCAAAATCAGCTATCAGATATGTGTCCTGCAAATATTTTCTTACTGAAATATTTCTTTCAGTTTATGGTTTGGCTTGTTATTTTCTTAACAGTGATGTTCAAAAAGCAAAAATTTTTAGTTGTATGAAATTCGACTTTAAATATTTTATAGTTTGCCCTCTTTTTGTCCTTTGTAAAAAAAAAAAAAATCTTTGCTTTCTGCAGAGTCGCAGGATTTTCTATTGTTTTCTTCTACAAGTTTTGCAATTTTACATTTTGGTCTATGATTAAATTATTTTTTAATCTGATCTGAGGTAAGGTCCAAGGCTCACTTTGGTATAAGAATATCCAGTTGTTGCTATGCTATTGGTTGTCAGACCATCCTTCCCCCATTGAATTGCTTGACACCTTTGTCTATCTGTGAAGCTGTTTCCAGACCTCCCATTCTGTCCCATTGATCTACATGTATAATAAGTCTTGAAATGCAAGCAATATATCCTGAGATGTTGCTAAAGTCACTTACAAATTCTAGTAGCTTTATTGTTTGTTGATTTCCTAGAATTTTCTATAACATTCCTATGTCATCTGTGAATACAAAGTTTTATTTTTTATCCTGACTAATCTCATCTGTATGTGCAAAAGTTTAGCCAACTCCAAAGTTTGAGGGAATAGTACCCACAAGAGATTACTCTTACTTCTTTTAAAAAAATTTTTTTTAATGTTTATTTTTGAGAGAGAGAGAGAGAGAGAGAGAGAGAGACTAAGCGCAAGTGGGGGAGGGGCAGAGAGGGAGACAGAATCTGAAGCAGGCTCCAGGCTCTGAGCTGTCGGCACAGAGCCCGACGCGGGGCTCGAACCCACGAACTCTGAGATCACGACCTGAGCCGAATTCGGCGCTCAACCGACTGAGCCACACAGGTGCCCCAAGAGATTACCCTTATGTCTGACACCAATTGCAGATTTGAGTGGTTCCCCAAACCCCCCTCAGGTTTGATAATCCACATAGAAGAACTCACAGAACTCACTGAAAGCTATTATACTCATGGGCTCAGTTCATTACGGGGAAAAGATAAAAATTAAAATTAGCCAAGGGAAGACGTGTATAAGTTGGAGCCTGGGGACAGTACCACCAGACACAAGGCTTCTGTTGTTATCCTCCATGGAGTCAGCACATGTTAATTTCCTCGTATATAACAGTATATATGGAGTATCCCCAACCCAGGATCCAACTGTGATCCCCAATCACAGTTTTTATTGCCTACGTAGGCATGACCGATTCATTGACCACTTAATTGATCTCAGTCTCCAGGTTGTCTGATATGATGTGATCAAGCTCCCACCCTGAATCACACTGTTAGTCTTTCTGATGTGGGCAACTCTCACTCTAAATCATAGTTAGAATATCCAGTGGGACCCAAGACCCCCAAGAAAACAAAGATACTTCTTCCTCTCAGGCATAACATTTCTAGAGCTTAGATTTTACCTCTCAGAAGCTGAGGCCAAAGGCCAGACCAGTTTGGGGGAAAGGTTAAGTTGTTTACTATGTAGTTATGCCTTTTATTTCTTTTTCTTCTCCTACTGCACAGTCTAGGAGTATCAAGGCAGGATCAAATAGACAT